GAGAGAGAAAAGAGGCAGAATTTTATTAGGCCCATAACTCTTAAGACTCCAGAGGAAGCTGGAAGCATAAAAGTTGAAGGCCAAATCTCTGCATACTGCAGCCAAATCTGAAACAGCTCGGCTGAGAGCTGAGAAATAAATATTGGTGAGATATCACAACTTCACATTTCCTGCGATGGGATAACAGTGAGACACCACGGGAACTTGTGATTAAGATGCTGAGCTGGAACCCAAATGTTTTTTTCTTTTTCCTTTCTTTCTTTCAAGCCACTTTCATTTACTAAAGGTTTATATCAAAAAGAAGGAGAAAAAAACCCACAATTTAGACCTATAATGGAGGCTAAATGTACACATATGCGATTTGTTCAGTTGTTTAGTTTAACACCTAGGCATATACATATTCTCAGTCCTACTGGTGGGTTTAAAGTCCACATCATACAGTAAAACTGCGACATCTAATGGCAAGAGTTGGAATTACAATTTAAAGTTAGCCTGCAGCTTTGTCGGCCTTCAAGGTACAGATGCTGACAACAAACTGGGGAACTACAAGAAAAAGGCTTGACTGGCACTGAGTTGAATGTTTTCATCTGTAGTGTTGTTATGGAAGAAAGTAATGTCTTATTACACAGCTGACATAACTGTTCAGTTTTATGCTTTTGGAAACATGGCATGATGCAAGAATTTCAAAAGAAAATACTCTCCAGTGCTTTAGTATTATTATTATTTAGCTTAGATGGTTCTCCTAATTTGACAAAGACGAGAGAAAAGGCTATTAGAGCTGTAGCTGTTACTTAAAAATGGAGACAAAGCACCAAATACAACTCCAGTTTTTTTCTGATGTTCTTGGTTACACTACTAAATTGACCTCCAAGTTACAGCAGTGAAGATGCCCCAAGGGGCCCATGTATATGTCATCCTCTCATAAGCAGCCAGCTGAGCCACTGTTTTAGCCCATTCATCCTATTTCTCCAGCGAGTAGTATCTGTAAAAGCCCAAACAATCCATCTTCTTTCAAAGAAGAAATCAAAGTCCAAAAGAAAAAAAAGAGCGAGCTTTGTAGAAATCTGAAACCTCTTTTTGAAGACTCCAAACATAATCTTTTAGGTACCATTAGACCAACATCTGAGTGTGTACAATACATTCCCCTGGTTCTGGTTCCCATTATAAAATTGTATAGTCCATCTCCTTATATTATGATTATTACCTCTCAAAATAATTTACACATATGCATATATTTGTATTGTACTATATGTTGATGATACCCACATAAAGGCAACCTGCAGATATTTGTGCTGATCCTATAAGTCCTCTGGTTTTTCCGCTGAGTTATCAGTTAGTTAACAGAGCAGACTTCTAAAGCGAGAATGGTTCCTTTGATTCACATTGATTTATTTATTTATTCACCTATTCATTCATTTGTTTTGCAGTAGCATCAAATTCATTGATAGATATGTATGTTTTTCTCTGACAAACCAAATTATATGTTAACCTTTAAATGCACAAGTGGGTCAGAAAAAACCCCACAGCCTTACCATATAGTTGTATATGTCAGAAAGAAAGCTGCTGTACATCTGAGCGCAATGTATCACAACAAAATGGTGGATGAAAATACCAGAAAGGAGAAAAAACACAATTAATCACATTCTACAACAAGACCAAAGGAGGTGTAGATACTATGGACCAGATGGCTGGAAGCTACACCTGCATGTATGGAAATGGTCTGGAAGGAAAGCCAGTGTTAAGTGAAAAGCAATAGATGCTACTTTGAAACACTAGCAGCGCAGAAAACTATCAAGAAAGTGTTCACATCCATGACTTCATGAAAGTACACCAGCATATCCTATACAAGCCATATACATGTTAAACTTGTGTTTTTAATGTAATTTTCAATTATTGTGGACCAATCTGCCTTTCTTGTTTTCATTAGTCCTGTTTTTTTTTGTTTTGTTTTTTAAAGATTGTTTAATAACGTTAGATAAAAAATAAATTTCACAAAATGAAACGAAAAAGACTACACCGCACAGGACTCTGGGAAATGGGTCAGCCCAGCCACGTCACATACGTTCCGTTACGTCTCAACACCGCGCCAAACTCTCTTTCTGGTTGGCAGTTGAAATGTCAGTTTAGGTAGCATTAGCAGACAAGATGTTCTTGTTTCTGCGTGAACTTTATTGAATGGTCAGTGAACAGAAACACCCAGACATCGAGTAAATGTAAGTTTCCTCTGCGAATACGTATTAATTTAAAAAGACCACGTAAAGATGAATATTATTATCACAGCGTGCCTGCTGCTGATGTCGGCACCAGTGTGTTGTTATTATAGAAGCTAGCTTAGTACATCGGTTTACGTACTTTCTTGATCAGAGTTCTGTATATGCCCCAAAAAGTAGTGGTCATGCTAAAGCTTAGTTTTCTAAGGCTCTTCTTTCTTCTGAGTATTTAGGTTACCGTGGCTGATTTGCAGCAGTCTAAAATGAGCAGCTAATACTAGCCATAACTACCTTACGTTAGCAGGAATACAGCAAGTTATATCATTGTTTGCTGCTGCTGTCAATAGGAAATATCTTCTTTAAATAGCTAGGAAATACCAGTTATAAATCTCGGCAGCATCATTAGCGGTTATGTCTTGTGACCGCCCAGGGACTTGACTCCCAACTCTTAAAGCTAGGTCAGCTAGCAAGCTAGGTACTCAGCGGAAATACAGCACAGTTGGGGCTTTATTCATGTTGCTGCGCATGTTTGGAAACTACAAGCTGTTTCCAGTTTCAGAAATATTTGTAGCTGGAATGACAGCGGTGACATTAGCCGTGGCTAGACTCATCTCATTATAGGGTCTGGCCATTTTAAAGTGAAGAGGATGGAACTTGAATCAACTGCTATGCATTGCATTTAACCAGTGAGGTTCTGAAAATTTAAATAAGAAAGTGAAAAGTGATATATTTAGCCACCTTGTTGCATGTATAAGGAGCCATAGGGAGAGATTATGTTCGTAGATCCATTGCAACAAGAGTTGCCATTGTCTGTGATTTTGTAGGCAGCTTCCTAAATACTGTTATGATGTAAGTGCATAAATGTCTAGGTCAGGCTCAAGCGTGGAGTTTAACATCAAAAGTTGTGTAACTGTTGCAGCAAAGACCGTGTGCGTTGTTTACCTGTAACGTGTTGTTTGTGTGTTTCTTAGTGAACCAAAGAAATCAAAGCAAAGACTTGTGTAGTTTCAAAAACATGGGGGCCCTAATATCTCGATGGAAGGTAAGTGACTGACAGAAAACATGTTTGAATACAAGAAAATGAAACAGAGAAAAATTCAAAATGAAAACTGGATTTTGAATAAAAACATAATGAGAAATTTTCTTGGTTATGATAAATCACAGAGTGACTGCCATTTAAAAAGTTGATTGTATTGGATTGAATCCAAGTGATTATTCTGAAATGAACCACATGCACTGAATTTCCAGTCAAATGTCTAACCCCAATCCATAAAAAAACCCAAAAAACACTTAAAAAGCTTGTCAACTTTGTCCAAAATATGGTTTAAAAGATTTTTTTAAGCTCACTAGTCATACTCCAACTATGCATGCACAGCGTTTTAAGTGACTTGTTGTTAACCTTACATTCAAAATAACTTAACTGACTCATTTATATTTATTTA